TGGCGTATATCACTTTATAACTATTGCATAAATGCATACATATATTGTGATGTCCTTGGATTTGTGCAATGGGAATCGGATCGTGATGAGATCACGATAATGAGATCGATTCACCTTTAAACACATATCCTAAATAATCCCGGTCATAGGTTACTCGAGAGGGACATCGTGCTAACCGGATAAACTGGTGTGCTGTATACCCGTCCATATGATGGATGCAGCTGGTCTCATAGCTGCTCGTGTAGGGACACTAGGGATACAGTACATGTGCTCATTGGAGAATGAGTTCACTGATTGATCCACTTTTGGAATGCTGGATGGTTGATGATGCCTTGTTGTCAGATAGCGATTCCGTAGTCCTAGTGGTGTATCTGGTCCTTAGACTTGAGACACCAAGGATGTCCTATATGAGTGCTCCACTCTTTGATACCAGACTTATAGGTTTGGCTGTCCCAGATCTAGTACAGCTGGTCATTGGGAGTGGTAGTCGACCTTACGAGGGCTATTGAGTGTCGATAGAGGATCATCCACTCTCGGCGTCATGAGAGGAATATCCCATGTGTTCTTGCTGAGACAAATCCCTGGCCAAGGTCATTCGAGTTGAGAGAGAAAGAGTTCTCTAGGAGTATCCGATTAGAGCGAGACTCGAGTAGAAACCGTATGGGTCTGACAACACCATGCTCGATATACGGTCTTTGGGATATTAGATGGATGAGGGATTATATGTATACGGTAACTGAGGACAGACAGGTCCAATGGATTGGATTCCCCTGTATCGTCTGGGGACTACGACGTAGTGGCCTAGTACGTCCGTAGTCGATGAGTCGAGTGAATTATTACAGAGATAATAATTCACTGAGTTAGAAGGAGTTATGACAAGTATGACTCACGGCCAGCTCGATATTGGGCCTAGAGGGTCACACACATATGGTAGGCATTGCGATGAGTAGAGGTTCGGATATGAGATATCCGACGGAGCCCTTGTCTTATTGGATGCAGATCCAATACCCACTAGGGGAGGACCCATTAGGGTTTGACATGGGTCCTCTATAAATAGGAGGGATTCAGAGTCTCATAGGCTAGAGAGCTTTTGCTTGCCTTTCCTATTCTCCTCTTCCTCTCCACCTCAGAGCGGGCCTGGAGTTTTAAGGAGCGTCGTCGCAACCCTGCTGTGTGGATCACCGCTAGAGAGGAGGACGCTTGACCTCCTTCACCCTCTCCTAAGGATCTGCAAGGAAACAGGGATATACGATCTTCCTAGGTAACACAACATACTCTATATGCAGTTTTAAGTTTCGCGGATTTTGCGCACCAATCTTCGCACGACGACGAATAACTTTTTGGGAATAGGGGATTTTGTTTTCTTGTTCTTCCGCTGCGCATGTGATGTCACCCCCATGATTTCCCAACACTTATTGCTTAGCGACACGGGAAGGACGACAATTGTCGAGGACACAACACATATCAAATTTGAAGAAGTTCTATGTTTGAAAAGTCTGTCAAGTAAAAGCCCTGTTGCCAAAGAGAAGAGGAAAAAACATGCACCTCGCAAGACTGGGAAAAAGAGTTTCATTGATAAAGAAATATTACATTACCCGACTGGTCGTGGCATACAAGACAAAATAGCACCAAATTGGCCATGAAAAGGAAAACGACAAGGGGGACACAACCTAAGCCTCGGGAAGATTTGTGCTATCGTCAAAAGGGACTTCGTCGGGCATCTCCACGCTGTTGTCTTCAGGTAGGCAGGAGAAGGGATCTTCATCAACTGAAGGTTAGGAAACTAAGCTCGAAACCGAAACACGAAGACTCGATATCTGTATTCATATGTGACTTGCCTCGACCTTTACAGACCGAGCTGAAACCCGCGAGACTCCTTATATTCTTCTATGAGATTTTTGTTCTTTGCAAAAGCTGCTTGGGTTTCCTCCATGAGAGCCTCCTCAGCCTTCTTTGTCGACGCTCGAGCCGCCTCCAAGCTCTGAGACATGTCCAACAGTTCACCTTCCATTGAGTGAACCCGCCCGCCTGACTCCTTCAATTGCTCCCGGAGACCCGCCTGTGTTGCCCGATATTCTCAACTTCCAACATCAACCGTGCAACCGCCCCCTCCAGGTCGATCGCCCGCTGCTCAGCCACTGCAACGACCTCCAGCACCACCCCTGCTTTCAGTTCTTCGATTTGGCCACGGAGCTCGACAATCTGATCACCCAGGCTGCTGATTATCTGACTAGTGTCATGCACTCGATCTACAAGCACCATATAATAGTGTTGGTTCTGCGCAAAGTTCCCTGGCCGGTCCGAGTCCCCCATAGACGGTGTAGCGGGATGACGAGGATGAGGAGCCGAAGAGGCACGGGGCATCCCCCTCAGTTGCTTGAGGTTCACCATATCTGCTCTGGAAATCAAAGAGTTGTTAGTAACGTCAAATGACTACAAAGCGGCTAGTAAAAGGGGATTGGCCCGAGCCGTACCCTGGGGTGCCAGACTAAGATCGGCCTCGACCAACTACTCCTCGATCATGTCCCTAACAACCCGAGAGGTAGAGAGAATCTCCTTCAAGCACCCAAGGTGCTCTCACTCGTTGTTAGACAACTTGGGGAAGCTATTATTGATCACCCAAGCAGATCATTTGAGGCTAAACCCCACCCTCCACTACAACTAACAAAAAAGTAACGACTTTTTCACTCTTTATTATTAGAAAGCTCCCCTCTCACCCTAAACCACCGTGGGATGATAGAAAATAGCCACTCGACCCTTTGGAAAGATAGAATCAGGACATAAAAAGGGATCAGGTCGAAGTAATAGCTGCTCTATGACATTCTTCGAGGAAAGCCACCATATACCTCCATGAGTTCAGGGCCATCTGAAATGGTGAGATCTGCCACTAGGAGAAGCAAGCCTCGATCACCGAGTGTAAAGGGAACCTGAGCCTAGCCTCAAGGGCATCAAGAGTTAGACCAAACCCATCCGGGAACAGGTCATGGGCCCATTGTCCGGACCGAGGGGCGTGTAGCTCATATTCATTTGGGATATTCTAACGATCCTTGACGCGACCGAGCAATGCCGTAGTCATGACGGAATCAAAGTTGTGCAGGGATTTCATGACTTCCACTCGAGTGGTCTTCTCACTCATAGGAGATGCCTCACTCGACGACGGGTCACTACTCGAGATCGACGCTACAACCTCGGATCCCGACCTACCGGATGACAAAGAAGAGGAAGAGGAAGAAGAGGAAGAGGAGGAAGGGGACATCTTGACTGACCTGATATATATGTATATGTATATGTATATGTATTTGTATATGTATATGTATATGTATATGTATATGTATATATATACATATATACATGTATATATATACATATATACATGTATATATGTATATATATATATACATGTATGTATGTATATATATATATAAACAAGACGATGTCGTGTCACCTCACTGATGTTGTCGCGCGTGGGAGAAGGAAAATGTGATGTCGTCTTTTATAAAAAAATATAAATATATATAATCTTATATATACATGTATATGTATATATGTGTATATGTATATGTATATGTATATATGTATATGTATATATATTTATGTATATATTTATATGTATATACATGAGAGACAATCATAGTGTGCAGTTATAATCAAGGTATATAATTTTGAATAATATCATTCGATATGGACCGTTCGTTATTGATCGAAACGGAATATATATATATATATATATATATATATATATATAATTTATATAAATATTTTTATAAAAGATGACATCGCGTACTATTTCGAGCGAACGTCGAAACTTCGGTATAGTACGATATTTCAATTCTTTATTACAATATCGTACCGTATTATGATATTTCGAAACTCTGCCATTGAGTTAGATATCTCTTTCAATAATATTGGCGTTTTTATGCAAGAGGATGCCATTTAGGCTTAAGATTTGAACTGCTTGATAGCAGGTGCAATCTCGTTACCACGAATAGGCATAGCCTTCGATTTGTTGTGGGTAGCATCGTGTGTTAAGACAGTCACACTACACCCCTGTTGACAATTATTCTCTGGCCAATGATTCGAATGGCATCTCGAAACACTGAATCTCTGAATGATTCGGTGGATCAATATCATTAGTCGAGCTGATGAATCAATTCGTTAATAATGTACTTAATATATCAAGAAAATAATTATTACACATCATATTAAGAATATAAATATATATAGTAAATTTCTTTCTCTTTTTTGCTTATAATAAACATTCATATAGTTCAAATAGTCTAATTATAATAAAATAGATCGGTGAGGTTGATTTTGTTTTTCTATTAGGCTGATCAATCTTAATCTGGATTCGTATTTATTCGACTAAACTCATAACTCTTAAAGAGTCTAAGATTCGTATGCTTGATTAAGATTATGACTCTATGCTTATATTTTTGTCTGGATTGTGACTCCTAATTTATGTAATCAACATACATTCGGATTACATGGAAAACTCCCATAATACTAATATCTTTAATTCTAAATACGAATTAATAATAATAATTGCATGAGTTCAGTGGTGAGGACAAGTTTTGGCAATTATTAGTATCGGATTGTGTTCAAAATAAAAGCATAACATTCGAATAATGCAAAAAAACAAACAATAAATAATGAAACAGAATAATACAAAAGAAATCAGAATTAACCTAATCTGGTTATGATTCCGACAAAGATCTTATTTCGGCTGTGTGGAAATAAGATCTATTTGTAGATACCATACGAGTGTCCTGAAATTGAGATCGAATCGATCCATCAGACCAAGAAAAAAAATAGGAATAATATCTTAATATCTGATTTCATTATTATTTTATTCATCATCATATATATATATATATATATAAATATAAATATATATTGTGAAAATGTTGAATTTACAAATCGGATCACCAGATGAGTTGAACGCTGGTACAGTTAGTGGACCCATCGATCCGCTAAGTACGGTGAGAAGGACTCGTGTATGAACGCTGGTCGTATTTGGAAGCGCATTATGTGACTTCCCCATGCAAGGGTGGCCTGCTTTGCTCTGCTTCTCCCTCCTTAAAGCTTGCGCCCTGCCTTCTCCGCCATCCCAACATCAAATAACACGCACACAAACACAGAGAGAGAGAGAGAGAGAGAGAGAATGGAGAAGGCGATCGAGAGACAGAGGATTCTCCTCCACCACCTCCGACCTTCGCCTTCCGCCGATCCCCCCAGCATCTCGGTACCTTCTTCTAATCCTCCGTTGATCTGCTTGGGTCGAGGCAAATTAGGGTTTAGATGCTCGGATCCGTTCCGATCTCCGCTCTTTTGGTGCTTTTGTGCGCGCGAGCGGGGGTTCGGTGCGTCTTATGTGGGCTTTTTCTTGTTTGTTTGTGTCTTCTTCTTGACAGACCGCCGTCTGTTCTGCCAGTGGGAGCGCGAAGGATCGGAGTTCTTGCTTCGGCGATGATGTCGTTATCGTGGCGTGAGTCCTCCTATCCGTTCTCTGCATTTCTGGCTTTCTGTTTCATCTGTTATGTGCCGTTGTTTGAAAGAGGGAGAAAATGAAGGTGTGTGTGTGTTTTGGCTGGTTTTCTCATGTGTGACGTCGGGAAGCTCGTTGAGTTAAGAACAGTGAATAGTTAACTCGATGGTTTTATTAACGGATTTCTATCTTCATGAATTTCTTCTCCACCTTTCATCTCGGAAACCCCTCTTCTTAGGGGTTCCCGCACCTTCGTCTTGGTAGGGCTCCTTGCGCTAAATGATATCCCTTGGTTGATTCTGTAATAATTGTAGATTCATTTTTTTATGCCATTCCGTTTCTAAATTAAAGTATAATTTTGAAAAAAAAATCAACAATAGTTATGATTTTGAAGCGATAATGCCACTGAATTGACATGCAGCACCAAAACGTATAAGGATTAGCTATTGGAAAAGATGCAAAATCCACGACTTTCTTGCATATTAAACATGAGTCATGCAACAAAGAATTATTTTAGCTACATGATGAGCTGGGTTTCCATTTCTTGCATATTATGTTTCTTTGGTTCTAAAAACAAGTGTCAGGGCACCTCTGTGGACCTCCTTTTGCAGGATAATATGTGCAAGTTGACTGTTTGCATGTTATGTATGTTGGGCCAATAACCTGACGATTTGTATGGGGTAAATATGTGCAAGATGAGGATTTTGTATGGATTAAGGCCTGTAGAAACAAAACTGTAGGTGGGCATGTCCGGTGAATGGTGGTAACAAGAAAACCTTCTCCAAGGATTTCAAGATTTTTCCTCCTTTAATCTCAAAAGTACCTACGGGAATACTTCTGCATTTTCTTTGTTCTCTTATGTCCCCATGAATGGTCGAGATAGGATGGTCATGCCACTTTGATTGAGATTTATGAATCTTGAAAACTTTGACTGGTGCACACCAAGAAATCAGGAATTCAGAGATTTAAGATTGGTTTATCCTAATGCAGTTCTGTGTTGACTGTTGATAGATTTTCATCAACCATATTTCCCAGCAAATAAAAAATTTTCTCTGGCAAGGGAAGCAGAGTCAATCTGTCAATCAAGAAATTGGAATGGTTCTAGCATTCTACCACTAGCTGTCTTTAAAATTCAACTCTCACATCCTATCGTATGGCTTTGGAGGTTTTCGGTATTCTTTTGTGTTGGATCTCTAGTAATTGTCGCCTGTAGCTTAATCTCTTATATTTGTTGTGTAAGATAGTGCTTGTCGAACTGCTCTTTGCAAGGCCAGAAAAGGGGGATTTAAGGATACATATCCTGATGACCTGCTAGCTCCTGTTCTTAAGGTTAATTCTTTTTTGCTTTGTTCTTTTCCTTCACATAGAAATTTATGTATGGAATAAATTAAAAAAAAAAAGAAAAAAGATAAAATGCCTTCTCTTGGAGCTTTTTATTAATTTGGTTATGACTTATATTTATGGGAGCTTCCACATTTTGTTCTATAGGCATTGTTGGATAAGACTCGGTTGAACCCAAGTGAAGTTGGTGATATTATTGTTGGCACAGTCTTGGCACCCGGATCTCAAAGGGCAATTGAGTGCAGGATGGGAGCATTTTATGCTGGATTTCCTGGTTGGTTGACTTCCCTTGACTTTGCAATGGTCATAGCTTATTCATTTTTTTCTTCTTTTACATTTTGTTTTTTTTTTCATGAATAACAGATACGGTTCCACTCAGAACTGTAAACAGACAATGTTCTTCTGGTCTTCAGGCTGTTGCTGATATTGCAGCTGCTATAAAAGCTGGTTTTTATGATTTTGGTATGGTTTTCTGTGGGTTGACTGGTTCTGTAAATTTCTGGCTGATCCTCTGGCTTTATTAGGTCTTTCTTACTTATGCAGGCATTGGTGCTGGGGTGGAATCAATGACTGTAGATCCAGTCAGATGGGATTGGCCTGCTAATCCCAATGTATAACTTATGTTATATTGTCAATTGAAATTTTCTTGCTGTAGTGCTGCAGTTATAGTTTCATAGTTAATTTGAATGTAAAAAATCCTAAGATCCTTTTGCATCAAAAATCTACTTTATATTCCTCAGGCTCAGTTATTTGCACAAGCCCGAGACTGTTTGCTTCCAATGGGCATTACATCCGAGAATGTGGCTGAACGTTATGGCATAACAAGACAGGAGCAAGATCAGGCTGCTGTGAGATTTGTGGCTATTGATTTTATCCCTAAAAGAGATTGCATTTGTAAATATTTTTTGTTCAAAATTTCTAATGCCTCTCATTTTGTTTAGGTTGAATCTCATAGGAAGGCAGCTGCAGCAGTAGCCGCTGGTAAATTTAAAGAAGAAATCATTCCTGTTGTTACAAAGGTACTTAAAGCATGAGAGACACCCTTTGTTTGTTATGGTTCTTACTTGTTTGTAGCAGTTCCAGAACTATACGGAATAAAAACCAGGAATATGAAATAAATAGCAATGATATTAAGGGAAATAATGGCCAACTGTTCAATGGGTATCTTAGCAACATGGTGATGCAATGATAACCATTAAACCCTTACCAGAGATATTAGGGACAAATTTTTTTGACAAGTTAAACAGAAACAAATCACTAGAAATCTTGATGTGCTCTTTCGTCTGCTGCAAACAATTTCTTTGTTGGGTTGTCTTTTGATGTTATTTCTCTTCAGAACTTTGATCCTGCGATATTACCTTTTGAAGGTTGTAGACCCCAAAACTGGAGAGCACAAGCAAGTGACAGTTTCTGCCGATGATGGAATTCGTCCAGATACATCAATTTCAGTTCTTTCAAAACTTAAACCGGCTTTCAAGAAGGATGGGACAACAACTGCTGGTGAGAAGCAAATAGTTTGTGAATTTTGGTTCCTTGGCTAAATCATTGATGATGCATATTGAAGTTCTTTTTCACTTGTGCAGGCAATTCTAGTCAGGTGACTGATGGTGCTGCAGCAGTCCTCCTCATGAGAAGGGATGCAGCAATGAAAAAGGGGCTCCCAGTACTTGGTGTATTCAGGTTGTTTATATATTGTTGCACACTGTTGAACTTTTAATATGCTTGGTTTTTTGTTTGTCTAAGTTGGTTAGTTACTTTACCATAGGGAAGGAAAAATACTAAATTCCCTGGGCTATATAAAGCTCTCAATTTATACTCATGATCTAGTGAACATGATATCTGAACGTCAGTCTTAATGATACCTATGCTATCTGTCTGATTCTGTGCATTTCAATTACCAACAGATATTATGACTGTCCGTTCAACACAATATGCATCTGAAACTCACCATCAGCTGATGTCTTTTATGCTATTTTGTTGTTTATTTATTGGGTAGTTAGTAATAGATGAAATGTATTTTGTTTGGTCATATATGCAATATCTCCTTTGGTACATTATGGACATGTTATGCATATCTGTGGATGGATAGAAGGCAGTCTGCCAGATACCACAGAGGGTGAGGGTTTACAAGTCCTCTTTCCATTGTCTTGTTTTATGAATCTATAAACATGAAACAAAATTATCATTATATATGCACTTAGTGAGATCTGAACACCTACTGCTGCAATGGATAAAAGTAAATGCTATCATTCCACTACTTTTTGTTTCTTTTTTTCATTAGCTTGATAAATGGAGCCAAATATTTTTTACCACTCTTTTTCTGCTCGTAAATCATTTGGATTTCTTTTGAAATGCTTCAAGCTCAACAATCCGACTATATACATGATTCAACATCCTCATAATGGAGACTCCTGGGATCAATTATAAATTATTTTCTCTGATTCCATTTCAATGTTGCATAAGAGTAGCTATTCATTTAGAAGCTTAGAGCACATTCTATGTCTATACATGTCTAAGATTTTCTTTCCGCAGGTTTTATCTTGTCTTCTTAGGTTCACCAAATGGGTACAATCAGTTCATAAAATAATTGTTAGCAGTTATCATGGTGCACATATTTGTATTTTTATGTCTACTACAAATCTGACTTGGTATTCTAGAATGTCATAGTCACATCTTAAATACTATGGGTGTGTCTAGGGTCTTATTTCCTTTACTTTTATATTATTTTCTTAGGTGTACCTAATGGTTACAATCACTTCATAAAATGGATTTTAACAAATATCTTGGTGCATTTTATTTTATTTTTTGAAAAGTTTTTTCATTTAATTTTAGGTACCCTTTTGTAGTTTAAGGAACTACGTATCGCTGGGCTACCTATACCATACAATGGTTCCTATTTGCTCATCAACTTATGCTAGCCCATGAAGCATCCATATAGTAGCTATTTGACATTAATTGCATTAAACTATTTTCATCTTTGTTTTAACAACTTAATGGTTGATCTTATGAACTACAGAAAACATGGTAATTCTGAAATTAACTGTTTCACTAGCACCAACTAATTTCCTGTAAAATATTGCTTGCTTATTTGGACAGGAATATCTAATTTCATCATTCTGAACATGTGAATCATTATTCTTATTTTTTCAAGTACCCTACATCTGACCTAACCTTTTGGTATGGTGCAATTTTTGAATGAGCAGGAGTTTCGTTGCAGTTGGAGTGGAGCCTAACATAATGGGAATTGGTCCTGTGGCTGCAATTCCTGCTGCAGTGAAGGCTGCTGGTCTTGAGCTTGATGACATTGACCTTTTTGAGATAAATGAGGTAGTAGTCTAGGGCCAACATTTTCTGTTGAATCCTACAGCAAGGGATAAAGAGAACAAACATATTTTCTTTTTCTAGGCTTTTGCTTCTCAATATGTTTATTGCTGCAAAAAGCTGAAGTTAGACCCTGCAAAAGTAAATGTCAATGGAGGTGCTATGGCTCTTGGTCATCCGTTGGGTTGCACAGGTATTTTTGCAACTGATAAACCCATATTGTCAGTAAAATTTATTTTTGTAAAAAAATTGATTACTCCTAGACATTGAAATTTTAAATTGATAGATGAGATCATTTAGGTTCTAACACTTCCCTTTATTTGTTGGCTAGTGGAAGGTTTAGTATATAACTATATATAACATGTGCAATTTGAATTAAATAAGGAGGAAAATCATGGGTTCTGCAGATAAGAACACCTGGCATTCTACTCTGATGCCATGTTAAAATATTGACCAGTAAGCAAAAAATACAAGATGTTGATTATATCCATAATAAAATATGCCAACACATTGACTTTATTAGCAAGGGTAGAATTTATGCAATAGCCAAATGAAGATGTGTCTTGTTGAATGGAAAGCTTATGATCAACCAATGAAGCATTTTGTAGAATTAATTCTGCTGAACTTTTGATATTTGTTTTTATCATCAAAGTATGTCAACTAAATATATAATCAAACATCAAATTTTAATGAAATTGCTATTGAAAATCTGAAACAGTTTCTTCTTTGAACAAGGCTAAGGGTCAAATTGCATTTGTAACTTGTGTATGGATGACAAAGCAAATTTCTGTTACTCTCGTATTAGTTACCAATTTATATTACTTTCCCATTTGTGAAAAGATTTTGCTGCTGTTATTGGAGAAAGTTCTTTCCAAAGTCTAGATTATTTTATGAAAATTTCTAAAACTGCAAACGATCATCAATCATTTTCCTATACCTAATGTTCCATGTTTCTTGGATTTTTTTTTTTTTCGATTCATGGGTTATAACCTTATCTTTGTACCTTAAATTCATTCTGATTCTGTGTCTCCTGCACATTATCGACTATTGAGACATTCTTTGTTACGGGCTATGAAATTTATTTAGCAGCTGAAGTTATGACTGAACCATGAGTTCCATGCCCATAATTGGGCTATTGATTCAGCACAGCATGATGAATCTGAATATTTTCTAGACTATGATCTTGGGCAAAATTATGCTTGACTCTTACTGGTATTTGGATCAGCTCAATTTGAAAAATTAAAGAAAACAAGTATTCTGATGGCAAATAAATTCAGTCCATGAATCTCATTTGGTAAATGTTCATTTAACGCATAATTAATTTCTACTATAAAATACAGATCCCATGACTCGGAAACAGAATACTACAGATAATTATGTATTGCTTTTCCTACACTATCAGAGGAGATTGAAATCACGTGTCCTCTAATTCGTTGACAGTAAATTTCGTAGAATATCCTATTGATCAGAAACTTAATTAAAATGGAATAGCTCTTTTTCCTTGGAATTCTAGTTTCTTTTAATTATATGTTCTTGACTTGTTATGAGTGCTGAACATTGCTATCTCTGTAACGATACATAACACGTTCTTTTTGTGGGAATTCTAGTTATTTTTAATTATATAAATTTGTTATGAAAGCTGAACATTTCTATCTCCAAAAAGATATATATAACCTAAAACCTTTCTTTCCTTGTTGTAGGTGCCCGATGTGTGAGTACTCTTCTATATGAAATGAAGCGAAGAGGAAAGGACTGCAGGTTTGGAGTCATTTCTATGTGCATAGGTGACACTCGCATCACAGTTCATGTGCCCTTATCGACGTCTGTTCTTGAAGCAATTCATCTCATCGTTTCATGCTGTGTCGCAGGGTCGGGTATGGGGGCTGCGGCTGTTTTCGAGCGTGGAGATGGTGTGGATCAACTCAGCAATGCGAGGCAGGTCATCTCCAACAACTAGTTGTCCAAGGATGCATTCACAATCCTGTGTTGCTTTATCTCATCGTTGACCAACAATTATGCCAATAAGCTCATCTGAATCATACCCAAGCATCACTTGGAATTGCCTTGAGAATTAGAATGATTCTTGGATAATAAGCCAATTCGACAATGTTAATTTTGTCTTTGCAATGAGACTGAGTTCATGCTAGAACATTTATCTGTGCCACCTCAGATTGTCACTCATGTTTGGAATTTCTTTTCTAGTCCGGTTGTGTGTTGATTCGGTTATCTTTGGCCAAATTACAATCATTTTTTTGGTGTTAGCTATATAAAAGAAATATAGTACAAAACAATTGAAATTAGTTTTTGGATATTTATCTCCGGTTATATGCTGTGCTCTCAGTATGCTTAAAATTTGTATTTCTGTAGTTGACTTTACATATCTATCCCTTGCTAATCTAGAAATATCAAACTTGCCTCTTCGAACTTTATATATATATATATATATATATAAAATAATTAAATCCTTGATATGTTCAATGTTCACATTTTGCATCCACCAATAAATTCAGATTAATCTGCCAACGAATTTATAAAGGAAAATTTAAATATTTAATATATATGTATATATATATATATATATATATATATATATATTTCATCGCTTTACTGTTATTTGACTTTTGTTTTTGAACTTAAATTTAGCGGGCCAAATGGAAAGAAAGAAATAATTTATGAATTATATACATAAACGAATTTTTAAGAATATTAACATTTCAACGTCATCGTGTTGCTGGAGAAATGATGATGAACTATAATAATTTAAATATATGATCTTACCTCATGAGATAATTCATATGATGAGAGCTTATATACTAGAATTGATATGAGCCTTATACTAGGAGAAAGAATATACTAGGCGGAAAGGTTTTTGCAAGTTTTAATAACATATATAATAATGTCCTCCAAAATTTAATATATAAATCGATGAACAATAATTATCTTGAATCAAAGGACATATAATAATAATAATATTATTATTAAATTAATCAAAGTACCCTTTAATATTCTCATAGTGCCAATAAAAACAAGTACAAATATGATGGGTGCGCCGAGTCGTGTCAGCGCACGTCGCCGCCTCGCCATTTCCAGCGACAAAAGGGAGGTCACTCGTTTTTGGGCCGTCCCCATCTCCGACTCGCACGGCTCCCACCACGTGCATCGACGCCGTTACTCCACCCTTCCCATCTCCCAAGAAAAAGGGCCATATGTTAGTTTTCGTCGCGTAGAAAACGATAAAGAGAAGGACAGAGGAATTAGGAAACGAACTCTGTTGATCTCCTCCTCCCTTTCCCCCCTCCCTCTTCGAGACTCGCATCGCGCCTTCCCCCCCCCCCCCCCCCCCGCCCTTCAAGAAACGACCAATTCCCGATCCCTCCTGGGACCAATCCTCAATTCTTGATCCTTCCCACCCTTCTGTCCGTCTCTCGATGTCGTCTCGATCGTCTTGTACGAGATCATTGTGATTCTTGGAAGGATCTTGGGCCGTAGATCGACATGGAGGAAGCCCTCGGGGATGATCAGGGCGATCGGCCCTCGCCGGACGATCTGCCCGTCGAGGCGGCGGGACCCTCGGCCGGGGGCGAGGTCGCGCCGCGGGTCCCTCGTGCGAGCGCGTCTTCCGCCCCGGTCTCCCGCTGCTCGTCGCCGCTGGCGAGGATACGGCAGGCGGGGCATGCCCGCAGCAACAGCTTCCAGAAGTGGCGCTGGCACATGCAGCGGGCGTGGAGGTGGGGTCCCGGCGGCGGTGGCAGCGGCCTCGGTAGCGGTAGCAGGGAGCAGAGCGTCCGGGCGACGATAAATTTTGAGATGATGGCGAATCAGAAGCGGCAGTGGTATCAGATCAAGGCCAAATCACGGGTACCGTCACGTCTCTGCTTCCTTTTGACCTAATCGGTTCTTGGACGATTGCTTTTCTTACAGCAAGTGTTTCCTTCCATTTAATCCTTATAATTGAAAGGAGACCATAGTTTTTGTGGATCGCGCTCACACGTCGCGTGTGGATGTTAAAAACATATGCTTAATTCCCAAGAAAATGCAGAATCTTAAAAATTCAATCGCTTTCCCCTTATGTAAAGCAAAGAGGCTATTTTAATAGGTTGTCCTAATTCCTTTCTTTTTGGTTTCTTTCTTTAAACAAGTATTTGTTTTAATTTAATTGTTATAAGGCAGATGAGATGTGTTGCATGTGGATGCAAAATTTATAGGCTTCATTCTCAAGAAAAATGCAAACTTATAAAGTCAATCACACACCAATTATATTAAGCAAAGAAGCTATACTCATGGGTTGACCCAATTCCGTACCTCGTGGTTTCTTTCCTTTAAGGCAAGCGATTGTTTTGATTTTGGTTGTAATATTAGCTAATAAAATGTGTTGTATGTGCTTTATTCTCAAGAATATGCCAGATTTATGTGGTTCATTCCAAGAAAATGCAAAATCCATAAATTTAGTTATGCTCCTCTCATTTGGATCTCCGTTGGATGGATGATATTGCTAAAGAAAACAATTGATGTTTGCTGAGTTGCACTGCTATTGAGAGTACATTATTATGTTAGTTCATACTATAAACAAGCTGCAGCTGGACCTTTTTTTTGTGGCTATTGAAATGTGTTCTTTTCTTTTTTTACCTACATTCAAGATTAGGAACTAAATTTATTTTTCTCTAGATTACTTCTCATGGTTGCATGAGGTTGCTTAATAAATAATTAACAATTCTTTATCTTTAGATAAGAGTCATATAAATTAGATTTCTAGTTCTCAAAGAATATAACTTTTACATTTATTAGTAATATGTTTACATTTTACTTCGATCTCTTGCATCCCATAATATTATGGTTGTAGTTAAAACAAAACTAACAAAAAGGTGTGCCTTTAGACATTAGGCTCCTGGAAAACCTTACAAGGCTCATGATGGACCTTGGTGAAGTTTGTTAGCCTTTCTTGAGCGATGCTCAATATATGACCTCAATGAACCTCCCACCTTGCCTTTTGATGTGGCTTTGATAAAACTGTTTCTTTCTCCGTTCTTTTTTTTTTTTTTTTTCATTTATGTGATGCTGCTGTCCCTTGATAATTGATTACGCATGTTTAAGCATTGTTTTCCTTGCAAAAATAATGGCTAGAGTTTCTGATAAAAAAAGGAGTACAAATATTATATATCAAACATGTTAATGGATATGCTTGTTTTGGGTACTGATCCTTCTCCTGGATGGTGTGCATCACTTGTGTTACCCAGCTGAGATTGATTATTAACACAGTTGTATCAGGTGGAATACGTTGTGCTACATAAATTGCTAAATTGTTTGTGATATATGGAGGGGATGACTAATTGTTTCATATCTTGCTATGGTATGCCTTAAAGCATGTACTGTAATCTTTTGTTTAGTGAAGACACTTGGGATAATCTGAGGTTGATTAAAGTGAGTTGATTACAGTAGCTACAATCAAATTGTAATAGGAAAATGACTCAGTTTGGCTGAGGTCCACCTTAGTTTGTTGTCCAAAAGTCAAGGAAAAGCAAAACCTTGCAGCTTATCTTCTGAAGAACACGAAGAGGCTAAATGGTATATACACAGTCACATTTATAATTTCCAAACTCAGACCAGCCTAGTCAGTTGTCCATTTATATCATCTGGCATGGGATATTTTTCCTGAAATTTTAGTGACATGCAACATGAACTTATTATATTAACCAGCATGGCCTATTAGTTTGAAAAGCAGCTAGAATGTGAGGCCACATAATTAGAGGTACCTGAGGAGAGATGTTATAAGCATGGAGCTCTGTATTTATTTTACCAAACTTGTCATTTTTGGCAGTGATTTCAATAGGCGTTCGGGCGCTCGCCTAGGCGCTCGGGCGAGGCGAGGCGAGGCCCGAGCGCCTCGCTTCATTTCCAGGCGGCACTCTTCAAAGAGGCGTCGCCTGGGTGCTTGCCCGAGCCCAGGCGCTGGGCACTTCGGGTTAGCGCCCGGGTTAAACCAGATGGACGAGCGCCTCGGGTGTTTTTGGACCTTGGCGCCTTTTGGCGCCTAGCGCTTTTTAAATCACCGATTTTTGGTCTTAAACAAATTTCTACAGCGTTCTGAATTGGAGTGGTGTATAAACAAATTCCTAGTGAAAAATAAATACAAAATGAGAAATTATCTTGGATCTTCTATATTATGCCACAGTCTGCTCTCTCTGCCTTGCTTGGATGCAGCTTAGACATGTTAGACTAAACTTTTTAAGATTAACTTGTCATTTGTGCATTTTTTACCACATTTGTTCACGAAACAAAGCAAGCTAGGACATGTGACGTAGCTTGCAGTTCCAGATTTCCAGTGATATAGTGTTCCTCGTCTTTAACTTCTGCGATTCAAAGTCTAAACCACCATAAACAATGCTTTCCTCACGTTCTCTCAATCTGTACTTCTATTCACTTCTCATTGGTTCATTGTGCTATCCTTTTGTGTAACACTTGACATCTATCTCAATATCCCCAATTCTGTGATTCTTAACATTTAACATAACTGGTAGAGGAGAAAAATAACAAAAACCAAGGCATTTAAAGTCCAAGTATACCTAAAAAAGGTTTATTAGAAAAATTTGGATTGTCGAAGGTGGCGCAGTAAAATATGATATGCCATCTATTATCCCATACTTCAGTCCAACTAGCATGGGTCTTCTGGTTGTTCTTAGTCTTTTCAGCGTATCATGGAGCATGATTCTACATTTCGAACGTATAGGTCTGATGACCTATCGAGTACTGGCACATGGCTACGAACACTGTGTACTCAGATCTTAAAAGAGTGTCTGCAGCACGTGCTGGTATACCCTGTGTTGGTATGTAGGCATGTATTGGACCCAAACCAGTCCGGCCAGGGACCAGCATGGATCCGGTAGTTGTATCAAACCATGCTGGTGGAGTGAGGACAGATTGTGGCAGAATTGGCGACTTCAGTTTTCAAGATGAGCTACATATATGACACTTGTTTACATAGTAAATGCTTTAATTGATACCGGTGTTTTTAAAAGTGATAGGCACTAAGGTCCCAAAATGCTCAAAGCGCTAGGTGCCCCCTAGAGCGAAACAAGGCGCTCCCTAATATTAAAATTTAAAAACTATATATTATGATTGATAAATATGATCATAATGTGGTGAACTTAGAATTCCAAAGTAACTCCTAATAGAGTAACAATGCACCACCTCAATATGGTGCAGCAGATGAGGTTGTCGATGACGGCGATGAAGCTGGAGAGGGTGGCGGATGAAGCTGCAGAAACGAACGAAGTGGATGAGGTTGTCGACGACGACGGACAAAGCGAATGGAGCATTCGAAGGTGGTGGACGAAGCTGCAGCGGCGAATAACATGTATGAAGGCGATGGACGAGCAGTAGGTTTTCACTTTTGGTCTCTTTCATTGGGTCGGCGTTAGGGTAAGTGCTCGTATAGTCAGTTGGTTTGATTGAATCGACTTCCCTGCACAGTCGAACCCAGGCTCGAGGTCAACCCGATTTGGCTCAAGCTGCTCAGCACTTGGGCTTAGGCGCGCACTTAAGCGCTTCGTTGAAACTCTTCGTCCCGAGATGTTGCGAGGCGCTTGGGTCTTGCCTCACCCAGCTCGAATGCTTAGGCGAGCACCTGTATGCCTTTTGAAAACGCTGATTGTTCTGTAAGTTACTTTGAGCATGACAAAGACTTGTAGTTGTTGATGTTTGGAGATGTCGAGAAAAAAATATTTTCTTGTTTGAAGAGAGCATTTATTACTCAAAAGTCAAATTATCCACCTTTCTTTGAAAAAGAGTGAAATGGTATTTAAAAGCCTTGGTGTGAACTGTTGTTGGAGTTGTGGAATCTAGACACTTATACATTAATTATTTTGAGTTAATGTTGATTGCTTGTTGATAGTGTAGTAACTGGTCTCAGTTGTCAAGTGATGATAGAAGTTACGCATCAGATCTCTTGTTAAAGCAAATTTGCTACATTGCTTGCAGCAGTTGTAATAGCATTTTAGACCAGTGATGCATGGTATGCTTCTTTGGAATACATTTGTAGACTATACTCATCTATGCAGTCAGATAGTTCAGGGTGTTATTTTTGGTCTAATAAGTACTGCGTTGATGTTGCTACAATTTTACTTCAGTAACAATTCTACTTGTCTAAGTTTTTTTAAAAGCAGTGATTCTTTAGCTGCACTTGTGGCTCTCTGGTAAGAGTCCATTCATATTGAACAAATCTTTGAGTTTGCTTGTTGGCTGATTTCTTCATTATATATCTTCCTGAGTTTTTAATCCCACATTCTGTTTAATGCAGTTTGAGACTGTTGCTTATGTAAATTTGCTGTTTCAAATTTCTTTAGAGGATAACTTGAGCTCAAGTTTTATTGAACTTAACCTTCTTTCCTGCTCTCTAAGCATGATTTTCAAAGGTTTCCAAGCTGAGTTGTTAAAGCTATGTGGATCTATTTTAGAGATTGTCTAGAATGATTTCTAACAATTTAAGAGAAGTTCTATAGTGAAATTGGTTGTGCAGGTTGTTTGACATATTACTTGGTAAAGGTTGTGTTGGATCGTATGATGAGAAGGGTATATCTCATGAAATAAGAAGGGAATATCCTAATAAGGTTGTGTTTAACTTATTAGGATTGGCAGCATGGAATAAGAATTCCATGGTATACCGGCCATACTTCCTCTATCGTCACCCAAATCAGTTTCCGGTATACCAATGTAGACCATTTACTGACATTAATTTTCAATAGATTTATATTTGTGCCAACCGAAACCAGTACCATTCCAACCACTACCTACCAGTCTTAGGAAGAAGTAAACCAGGATTTGAATTCTTACAAACATCGATAACATTGATATTTTTGCATTATCTACTCACGGACATTCTTTTTCCTAGTAACTAACTGAAGAATGAAGCTAACATGCAATTTTAGATAACTATGAAATCTTTCACCTAGTCAGATAATTAAGCGAACGCATGAGAACCACTTGCTGTTTTTCTTGTTTTTAGATCCCTTTGATTTTATTGTAGCTTATACCTTGCTCACAGTCAGTAATTTATCATCCACAGTCAATTATTGATTTGTAACAATCAATTTTTTATTAGATTTGAATTGCTGCTTCAGACATATAGTGTGTTGCTTTCTTGAATTGGGTTGCTTTGACGCAGGATCATATGCAACATAATGAACCATCATCACTATATGAGCACTTCTTCATTGTTGGCCTTCATTCATATGCAAATGTTGAAGCCATTGAGGAGGCTTTTGCAAAACGCAAAACTTGGGAGTCAGAGGTGGCAAAATCAGAAATCTTGGACCTTAGAAAGCTTCAGTATCATGGGTGTATACCTACTCTGGAACCTCAGGTCTGCTCATTAGATGGGTAGAAATATGTGAATTACCATACCTTTTTGACATATTTATTTGTATTATACCTCTACAGCTGTCTTTCATTCAATATGACATGGTCAGCCGATACACAAGTGGAATTAGTTTGGGAGACATCATGGTTGCCCTTTGTTTATTTGTATCAATAAAATCAATTTGCCTTGATGTTTGTTTGTAGTTATATCATGATGCTTCACTCTCATGAACCAGCCTCTTCTTTTTCTATTTCATCTTTGATTTATGTTGGGATTTCTAGTTATTAGGTCTTGTCCTTGAGAGGATCTTATCTTAAAGTAAAAAGTTGGACCCAATACATTATCAAAGTGGTAGGCCAAGGTTCTGGCTTGTAATGCAATGGGTTCAAGTCCTATGTTACTCTGAGTCTCTGACCATTGGCTTCAGAAGATATGAAATAAGCTACTTAATTTGTTAAATTGTACTAGTGATTTTGCTTTCTTAATGGCTTTTTTACAATATTGAATGACTAAGTTATTGTTATTTGCTGTTATTGATAATTATTTGTAATCTGTCCATTATTTGTGGTTGTTTTCATATCCTTGCTCATCTCCCTAAACATATATTGCCACCATCAAGTTTTTTTAATATGCCAATAAACTGGATTTCTCTAGCAACTATCTCCATGCATCTGGCTATTTTTGCTCTTTCGATTAGAGGGGTTTTCCTTTTTGCTATAATTTAATCCAAAGAATTCCTTTCAAGTGACTTAGAGTTTACACATTTTTGCCAAGTAGACTTCAAGTTTGCTAGCCTATATTGTCTGTTGAGGATTTCACTTGGTATCACCATACATCCACAATTATTGTTGACATATATGGGGCATGTTTGGTATGCTTCTCTTTGCCCCCAAAAAATTACCTTTGAAGTTCTTTTTGGAGGTGGTTCATGGAAGTGCTTGCATACCTGTGAATTCATTTATTTACAATTGTTTAATTAGTTTTAGAGGTGTTCGCTGGCCAGTAAAATATTTGGTGAAGCAATTATTAGTAGCTGCAGGTAGTTGTAGTGATTTTTCATTTTGCTCCATTTTACTTAAGATGGATACCAGCATTCCGGTTACTGTGTCAGGTTTCATTTTGATATTCTTTTCTTTGCGCTGTTGTCATTTTGCAAGTTTGTTGAACCTTTGTTTTATTTTTTGGCTATCACTTGTTATCACATACTTCTAATTTGCTACTGCAGATTCTTTTTAAATACCCTCCTGGGAAGAGAGCAGCAATGAGAGAGAATGAGTTACCTGCTTTCTGCTTTCCTGAAGGTGTTAAGGTTTGTTAAATATCTCTTGTAACTAGAGCAAGTACTAGCTCACTAGCTTGTCATACAGAGTCAATGATGAGATAGTCTGATCTTTCCAATTTATGATTGATACCTTAGACACAATCTATATGATCCTAAATTTTGTGTATTAAGTGTTTACATATATTCATTGCTAGTGTAAGCATGTGTAGGTTCTTCATTTCATCGACCAGTGAGAGCAGCTGTTTTCTTTGTTGCTAATTAGTTTTTCCTGTAGTTTGTTACTTTGTTGTGTATAAATCAGGATTAACTATTAAAATGGCTCGTTTGGTGTCTTCCTTCTTGGGATGTAACAGCAGGCATTGGATAGTTCCCAAGTGTCACAAGGCATGATTAGTGAAAGGATGGATGCATGCCATTTATGCATGTTACAGATGAAATTACTAGCTGATGTGGCATATACAGTACTAGTCCAATCATTTATATTATGTCAATAACTTTGATGATGCACTATTAACCATTCAGTACACACTTTGCAAAAGGATAACTCCATTCACATGTGGATATTGATTTGTTGGTGGTCTTTGGTTTTGAGCATAGGTTAATTAATTGAAGGTGGACACTGGTGACATGGTAAGATTGCTCTTTTGCGATCTAGATAATCAGATTCGAGTTCTGAAAACAATCTCTTTCCCTTGTAGGGTAAGGTTGTGTACGTTGGCCATCTCTAAACCCTGCATTTATCGAAACCTTGTGCACTAGGCCACCTTTTTATGACTGAATGATGTGTGAACAGAATATTATATATGGAGTATTATGTTTCATTTCTTGCCTTTTTTCTCTCAATCTGGTTTGCCGCATTGCAGCTTTCTCTGATAAAGATCCAGACAGAAACCATTTCCGATTCTGTATTGAATTTTAATGCTGGACTGTGAAATTGAGTGGAATAGGAAGTTAATGCTGGAAATACAGAAAACAGTTAATAGTTCTATTGATTTTTTAGTTATGCTCTCTATAGTTCAGATGCCTGCATTTTTCAAAAAAAATTCAAATAAAGAAAAGAGTGAACACAGTGCACAATGCTCTCTTCGATCAGCCTTGATTTTAAGTTTGAATTATTATGTTAATTATTTGATGAAACACTACCTTTTGGTCAAACATGGTTTGATCCAAGGTATGTAATACCGTATCATACCGGTGTTTCGAGGTTGGCTCGGTATGGTACGGTACAGTGTACCGAGCGGTACGCTAGGGCGCATCTAGCGGTACACCTAATTTAGGTGTAAAACCCTCCGAAAATATTTGAAAATAAAAAAAAGTTAGGATAGAGTTTTTAAGTTAGAAATAAATATAGTAATAGCATAAGTTTAGCAAAATCAATGTAAATATAGTAATAGCATTCTTCAATATTTTTCTTGTGCAAGGTTCGTATTTCAATCCATTACGGATTGTCCTTATGTAAATATTAAAATATCTACAGAAAAATCATTTGAATTGTTAGACTATTTTGTTGCAATATAAACTCTAAAATTTAAATGAATTAAATAATCACAAATGAATTAAATTCAATAACTTTAATAAAACCTAATTAAACTTATTTTACTATCATAAATATTTTTTAATATTTAATATGCATGAAATATAAATATTTGACCTATTAAGTATCTAATTTTGAATTAATCAATATTAAACATACTAATCATAATATTAAAGATCTTAATTGCTCTCTAATTAAAGAAAGAGAATACATACCTCTTGATTAGAAAGTTCTTCCTCTTAATCTTCCAAAATTAGTCTTGATTCAATTCACAAATCGTTGTTTTATAGAGTTTACGAGAGCACAAATGTGAGAACAAAAAAGTTTGAGATAGTTTAAGAGAGCATAAGAATGTAATGGAGTGAAATAGGGGAGAAGGGTTTAAATACTATGAGAAAGAGCTCCAACGGTTAATTTGACCATTGGAGCACTGTAGCACTGTTACCGAGCGGTAACGGTCGATTTCGACCATTACCGAGCTGTGCCGGTCGATTTCGACCATTACCGAGCTGTGCCGGTCGATTTCGACCATTACCTAGCGGTAACGGTCGATTTCGACCGTTATCGCCCGATATTACCCTGTATCGTCCGATACGGGGCACTTTTAAACGTTCCGCTCAGTAGCGAGCGGTCCGCGTACCAGTATGCTGTCGGACCGGTACGTACCACCCGTACCGAGCGGTACCATTCGAAATTGCATACCTTGGTTTGATTAAAACAAGTTTCTGTTAGTTACTCTAGGTACCTCGACTAGTTTTATAATATCCATATACATGTTCTAGATGTTTATCACTAAATTAAATTGAAAATCTCTCACACTCTTAAAACTTATATTTTTAGTCGCAGATAGCTATTGGTGCTTATCACACATACCTGCAGTTATTATCACAATTATTTGCTCATTTTATTATCCAATTCATTAAGATTGTTACACTGACACCTTATTCTTTCGTTGGTAAGCAATGGGTGAAAATGAATACAAAATTATATGAAAACTGAATTTCTTTGAAATTCGACACTGAGGCAGAGGTGTAATCAAGATTTGCAATACCATCCAAGATGGTAGGGTATGGGCAGTATTTACTGGGTTGTTAACTTAGCTGTACGCAGATCAGGAGACCACCCAGTTGTCCGGTGCAGGGCTTGTACCAGTCAGTTTAGGGCCCGGTCGCCTGGTGCAAGGCTTGTACCACTCAGTATAGGGCCTATACTGCCTTGTATAGGGCAGCATAGGTTCTGTACCAAGCAATTCTTTTTTGTTTTTTCAGCTTTTTTTTTCAGGTTTTCTTGAAACTCAGTATGTATTGTTGTACCAACACTCGATAAAATGGTAGAGAGCAGTAAGGTACCAGTTCGAGCCCTTACCAGTACACTACCGGTATACGAAATTGTTAAGCTTGGTGTACACAAGTTGTGGTCATACTCCTATAGCTTGTTTGTTTGAGAAATAAAATAGCGTACATCTTCTTTTATATATTGGTTTAGGCAATAATTATTCATTTGTTAAGCACCTAATCAATTGTCTTATTTTGCTTATAATTAGGGAATGTGAAATAAATTTTTGCTCGAATTCACTATTCTTCAAGTTGACTAGACTAAACCTAAGCCTTTAGACGATTGTGATGGAATATAATTTCATGAGTAACAATATATATTGTTTGAATAAGATTTACTAAAAAGTGATTCTGTCATTTCATTTAACAATGGATTTATCTTTTAGTCATGGTTCGCATTACCGGTCCATACTGGTATAGTAACCAGCTGTCGATACGATATGTACTGAACTGTACCAAGTTGTACCGAGCATATCGACACATGATGCACTAGGGTGTACCGATGTATTCCCCATACCATTCCTCTGTTGGACCAGTACGTATCGCTCATTCTGAGCGGTATGCTTCAGTATGTCAAACCTTGCTTTTAACTCATGGCATTGGAGACTTGGAGCAGTTGAAAAATCAAGATGTCTTTTAGAAGATTGTCTTCGTAGCACTTGCTGAAGGTATGACCGTAAGGTCACATGTTTACCAAATTTTGCCATAGTTGCAACAGTTGGTTCACGTTGAATTTTTCAGTGTCCTGTCTATAACAGTTAGTTGTAACACCAAATGTTACCATAGTTATAACAGTTAGGTATCTTCTTCAAAATCATATCGGGACAGAAAGACCCTATGAAGCTTTATTGTTCCTTGAGATTGGCTTTGGGCCTTTCCTGCATCCTGCACAACTTAGGTGGATAGTGAAGAAGGCCTCCTTCCGGGAGCCCGAGCCATCAGTGAGTAGTTGTAACACCAAATGTTACCATAGTTATAACAGGTAGGTATCTTTCTTGAAAATCATTCCATTAATTGTCTTTAATATTCACACTAAACTGCACTTGTCTTGAATTTGAGCTCACCACAGTCCAAAAAGAATGCATCGTGGATTCTTGTCGCGATTCAACATGTAGCATGCTTGTTGTCCAGTAGTTTGGAACTTAGTATTTCAACATCTTGCTGTCATCGGGCGTTTCTATAATATGGAAATATTGGTCCACCAATATACGGACTGGAAATAGTGTTTTGCTTGTAAATATGGCTATTAAGCTAGGCCATTTTCTTGCTATTCATGAGTTTATGAACATGTAAAGTCTGTACTTTTAAAAGTTATCTGATGAGGATTGAGACTGGTTTATAGTTTCAGATACTTTGCACTCTGACATGAAGTTTTAGAATTATTCTTAGTTTAGGTAACTAATTCCTTAAAAGTTTTTCAAGCTTTCAACTTGATCTTAGTATTTAGAACAAAATTTTGAACTTGCTGGAGTGCTTCAATAATAATCGATGGTGGCAAGGTTCAAAATCTTGGTCCGAAGACAATAATAATGGCCAGTGGCAGGATCAGTAAGTTATCAGTATGGATTGTTGTACCGACACTCTGTATGTGTTGGTACCGACTGGACTGAGAAAAAGAGGGAGAGAAGAGGGGAGGAGGAGGAGGAGATGGTAGTGGCGATGTGAGGTGGTGGCAGCAAGAGTGACTGGACGAGGGGGATACTGAGGTACTGCTGGCACCAAGACAGAAGAAAGGAGGGAAAAGGTGGATAAAAGGAGGGAAACAGATTTCAGCAGAGAACAACTAACGACTGTTAAGAGGAGGAGATGTCAGTGGTGATGTGAGGAGGCTAATACCGTAGCAGCAATGGCAGAGGCTTTGACCAATGCAGAGGAAAGGAGGGAAAAGGCGGGTAAAATGAGGGAAATGGTTTTGATGGAGGACAACTAACACCTGTTGGTTGACAGCTGTTTTCAGCCATTCAAACTTGGAAAAATATAAAATTTCTATTCTAAACCAGACCATGCGAAATTGTCCAGTTCAAGTGCTGGACTCTTGTCGGACTGGTAGTTACCTGGATGTAGTGGGCATGTTCAAAACCTTGGATTGTAGTCCTAGAATAGGAAATGGTGAAATCTGTTGTTCTTTTCTGAGGATTCATTGCTAAGTGCGTCACTGCTTTGTGCCTGATCTAATGAATGCTATCAACTTCATCTCTTTTTTTCACATTAACAATCTTTTAATCCTGTTATTGAATCTAACAAATCACCTTGTATTTTGCATATTGAAGTCCCTTTTCTTCTAGCTTTCCCATAACACTTGCTATAAAGTTTAAAGATGTGGATATGTTGTGAAGATAACCTTTCTTGTAACTTGTTACTGACACTTCCTTCAAATATTGATTTTCTGAGCCAGTTGTTGGTTTTCAGCTTATTAACAAGATTATATCCTGATATACTGAAGAATGATGATTTGTTGTGTAACAGAATGCTTTTACATGAAATATGATCACGTGTTAAAATGGTTGATGCAGGCTCGCTTGCTAGAGAGAACACCATCTATGAGTGATCTCAATGAGGTCGTGTTTGGCCAGGTAAGCCAGAGATGGATTATCATCTTTAGATATTGAGCACTTTAAGAAAAATAGAAAGTAATGCTGATTCTTTTTGCGGTTACATATGCTACTAAGTAATTCTCAAGTGCTGAAATTACAGCCTAACTGTCAACAAAGATTGACATTTAATTTCTAGAGTTACTGACTCCAATCAACATGTTAAGTTTCGACAAGTACCACTTCTACACTTTTGCTACTAGTTTTTCGAGATTGTTTCTCGCGAGGTAGCCAATTGGGACTTACGGCTTTGTTGTTGTTGTATTATGGGGAGGTAGCCCCTAGCAGTAGGTTTGGATTCATAGCTTTGGATCCAAGTTTCGGGCTATTTGGGGATGGTTTTAGGTCATTTTAGGCTCTTTTGATGGAGATGAGATCACCTTCAGGTTCTATGTTTGGGGCACAATGAAGAATGGCTCATTAGAAGTCTTATTGGATTGGCAAAGAAACTTAGATTTGCATTAGGATGTGATTTTGTTATACTTGTATGGCCCAAACTTTAGTGAGATAACAACTTCATTGGTATTTTGGATCGTTTTCATATGGCTTGGTGCTTCTTATTAATTGCTCATTTTCATCCATGAGCGTGATTGCTTTGATGCCATTTACGCTCTCCACATATTCCTAGTTAAGATTCATTCAATGTTTGGTGGTCCATGTTCTTGGGAGATAAGTTATTCATGTGTTGATAAGTGATGTATGATTATCGACCAGAGAGACACCATGCTAAAATTTGGTTTGAATCTTCAATTTGGGTAGTAAAAGTCGAGATTTGTGATACAATATGAATAGCACTTACCAATCCAGCAGCCTAACAGTACATGGATCAAATTTAATTAGGCAGTAAAACTCTTGGTTTTTCAGCTTTTTCCAGAAATTTTTTGGGAACTCGATATGTACCAGCATGCTGACACTCAGTACACCAGCACGGATTGATATGGCACCTGCCCAAGCCCTGCCTGATATAATACCATTATCTGAAATTGCGACCTTGGGAAGAGCATGCCAAAATACCATACTTGTGCTTGGATGATCCAGATACTTGGGGTAGGTTCTGGGGTGCTGAACACATTGAATAGTCTATGTTGTTGAGACCAAGGTTATACTGATTGGTAAATGCCAACTTGTTGATCATGCTGCTCGTTGTTGCTGGCCCGTCTGTTTTGTCTCCTCATCTGCCTCCGCTTCTGCTTCCACATCCTTCTCCTCTTCTTCTCTGCCGCCATCGCCTCCTCTTCTCCTTTCTCCCTTCCCTTCTGCCTCTTCTCCTCCTATCCTCTTCGTATTCTTCTAATTTTCTTCTTCTCCCTCTTTACATGCGCGCGTGCACACACACACACACCCCTCTCACCCTTTAATTTTCTCAGTGCTACAGTATAAACTGGCGTATCATGCATGGTCTACAGTACCGACCTGTACCGCCTGGTACAGGCGGTACGTACCGGTCCGACAGGTTGCCGGTACACGAACCGCCTGTTATCGGTCCAAGTGTACTGTAGCAGTACACTGTAGTACTGTAGCAGTGCTACAGTACTCGGCACACCTGGGTGTACCGCTCGGTATATCGTACCGTACCGGTACCGAGCCCAGGTCGAAACATCGGTACGGTACGGTACGGTATTGCGAACCTTGGTATCATGTGTCAATATGCTAGCATGGAATGTAGCCATACTGGTCTGGCCATGGATTGGTATGAGTTCGGTAAGAGAAATGTCAAACATTGGTTGAGACCAAGGTATGCAATATTGTACCGTGCCGATGTTTTGAGGTTGGCTCGGTACGATACGGTATCATGTACCGAGCGGTACACCTAATTTAGGTGTAAAACCCTATAAAAATATCTGAAAAAAAAAAGTTAGGATACGATTTTTAAGTTAGAAATAAATATAGTAATAGCATAAGTTTAGCAAAATCAATGTAAATTAGGTAAGAATAGTATCACATATTTTTTTCAGACTTTGAAGAATATCTTGTGCAAGGTTCGTATTTCAGTCCATTATGGATTGTCCTTATGTAAACATACTTATTGATTAGAAAGTTCTTCATCTTAATCTTCCCAAATTAGCATCGATTCAATTCATAAATCGTTATTTTGTAGAGTTTAGGAGAGCACAAATGTGAGAAAAAAAGAGTTTGAGATAGTTTAAGAGAGTATGAGAATGTAATGGAGTGAGAATAAGAGAGAAGAAGGGTTTAAATATTATGAGAAAGGGCTCTGACCGTTGGAGCACTGTATCACTATTACCGAGCGATTTTAAATATTTCTTCCTCTTATTGTAGCACTACTACAGTGTAACATTGTAGCACGTTCCGTCCGGTAGTGGGCAGTCCGCGTACCAGTATGTCGTCGAACCGGTACATACTGTACGGTACAAGCAGTACTATTCGAAATTGCATACCTTGGTTGAGACTATTACAAGTCTCTAAGTTGTAACCTGCTTTCTGGGATGATAGCACACTTGGTGCTTATATCATTTTTTTTATTTATCTTAACCTTGGCAAATTCAGCATGATATTTTTCATGTCAATCACAGTTTTTGTACTTGAGAATAATCTGGCTAGTCCTTTTTAATGTAATGCCAAATAGTTATATATTTGTTCAACTATTAAAATAAACGTCTTTTCTATGGTAGGCCTTGATCATGAAGTTTTGATTTTTGTGGTTCATTTAGTGAAACAAGCTCTATTTATTCACTTTAATCTTTGTGCAGGAGCATCTATCTAGGGATGACTTAGCTTTTGTCTTCTGCTTGAAGGTCTGTTTTTTAATTCTTGAGATGATCACCTGTTCTTCCATGTAAATAGAATTGATTTTAAATGCTCTATGATTTATATTTGGTGGCCTTTTTCTTTAGAACTTCATCTGTCTATAATATTATAACGTAAACTAGTTGGAATTGCCATTTCCTTTATGTGCTCAAAGAAAGAAAATTATGTTTTTCTCTTAACAAGGCTGATAAGAACTTGAAACCTGCATGTTAAGAGGATTCAAATCTTTTGTTGAGGAAATGGAAGATTTAGATTTAAGTGTGAGTGAAATGCCATTGTTATATCTTTATAATGTTGTATGCACATGAATTAAATAAAAAACATTTTGAAATAAATCAGGGATCATAGTTCATCCTAGTATGCTTCTCTGTTGATGTTAGATTTATGACTTCTAACATAGTGCGTTTATTTTCTTATGAATACATATTATGTGGAAGTTTAGATTTATTATAAAAAGTAGGTATGAAATTTAACAGAAACCAATTTAGATGGTATTTTTCTAATTTTCACATTTGCGCAATATGGTATGAAGCTTACATACTGGTAGTTATGAAACAATGCAGCCAACAAATTTGATCCATCTTAAACTGAGAACTTCACTTGAATTTGTTTGGATCAAAGGACATAGTTGTTCTATAATATTCAAGGTAGTAAGGCAATGATTTACTTAATTTTGGTTGTATTAAACCAAAGAGCTCATCATTTGTAAAACCAAGGCTAGTGTGAACAATTGTTGTTATTTTTAATTTTTAATTCTGGAAGACATTCATATTGTGTTTATGCTTTTTGTGTTATTTACTTGCTCCACCCATAATAGTTGGAAAATTAGGAAGACATGATATATTAATATGAATTCTGCTTGAGAATTGTTATTCGTGCTCATTGACATGCATTGAAATAGAGTTATTTAGTTTTTATTGTGAAGCACAAACACTTCAAAATGCTTCCGGTGTTTGTTAAATGGCAATACTTGTCAGATACATGCTGACATACATTATTACTTCAAAAGCACATATTTACTTTGTTAAACATCTTCATTAGGCTTCACATGTTGAATATTAGCAGCATCATGTATTTTGAACTTCTGGTCTATCATGATGTTATTATCCTCTTTAATGTTTTGTAAAATTATTGCCTTGTCATACCTTTCAAAAATAACACATTTTGCTACCTGTGTCTTGTGTCTTTCTCCATGCTTCATAGCATTTTTGGAATGAGAACAACTTTAGTTTAGTGATTTGATGGAGTTCCTGCTTTGCAGTTGGTAAACTTTTGCTTCGTAAGAACACAAGTTTCAGATTCTAGTGTTTGAAGAGATCCAGTATTTTAACGACTTTTACTGTTTCTGTAAATAACTTTCACATGAAAATTAGGAATGTTTCAGGCAATTACCTCATTTGGATCCAAATGTGGTCTAGGTTTGGTTGCGTCCTTCCATTTCGGGTCATGTTTCTTTTAGTCAAGTCGGGTTGATGTCAATTGCATGTAGGTTGTTCTTTCACAACTTGACCAAGTCCCATTAACATGGCAATTCCCTGAGTTCTGCAGTTGTTTTTCATGGAAGTGCCTGCCCTTGGGTAGAAAAAGTGAAAAGGTGATTAATGTGTTTCAAAAATTGATTCATGAAATTTGTGTGCTTTAACAGGAGTAGCTCTTGGATATGTTCACTTTGATGTGATATGTAGATGGCACCATTCAGTTACTCATGAAATAGATTACTTTTAGGCTTTTATCAACTAGTATTAGAATTGTTGTGCTTGATATTTATCTGTCTTTTTCGTATTCCTGTAGTTGGATAAAGCATGCAGCTTGAGCATATTTAATTCTCTTATGTCCATGTTTTCTCATATATCCTGATCATTTTTTATGCTTCTCAGGCCTCAGACAATGCTCCATTTTATGGTGTTTGCCTGCATGTCCAGGAGATAGTTCAGAGAGCACCAGGTATTTTAGGTGCTGTTTCGCCCCTCCCCCATTCTTCTTGCAAGTCTAGCCGGTTCTTGGTTTCTGCTCCACGTTGTTATTGCTTACTTACAAGAGTCCCTTTTTTTGAGCTCCATTATGAGATGCTGAACAGGTTTGCCTTTGTTCACTCTAGTTAATATGATATATTCAAATATTATGCTTTTTTATTAATTTTTTCTCACACACACTGTTGGTCTCTGAGTGTTCTCTCATTTTAGTACCTGATGCTTATTGTACTTTGTATTCTCTGACAGCATAATTGCACAGGAGCGCCTTGACAGGATAACACATTTTGTTAGTGAAATGGCTGTTACAGATTCTATCTCACATGGGGTCACAATTCCTGAACAATTATATGAGAATTCTGAATCCCCCAATAAGCTATTGTTTAGTAGTTGGATGGAATATGCTATACCTATTGATAGTGTATCCAGTCTTGTTTCTTCATCGGTTTTTCCACTGGAGAGGGAGGTGTCACCCTCTCCATGTAGGACTTTGGAATCTCATTCCCCAGAATCTGCCAGTGAAGCTTCAGATTTTTGTCACCTGAGGGAACTAGATCGGGAAACTAGAAGGGTTTGGCAACATTATGATGATAATATATCTGAGACATCAGGATCACGTTCTGATAGTTTTGAAAGATTAAATGGATGCTTTGACAATGGGCAGACTTCACCAGATGTTGGCATGATGTACTCTTCTGCAAGTGGCAGACTACACCGTGTGGAAAGCTTGGAGTCTGTGTACAGGTGGTAGAAATTCTTATTTTAGATTTTTTTATCTTTTTTTTATTTTGTGAAAGACAATATTTATTATCCTAATTCATCTTTCGAGTTCTTTTTCCAATACTAGATGCCAAACTTCTATTATCTTTTTAGCATCATGGAGTAAATAGCCTATCTGAAGATGATGATATTCTTATCCATTCCAATGTTTGAATGAGTTTAAGTGGTTTTGGACAGTTCAGTTAGAGATGTGGGATCTGATGATGATGATGATGAATATGAGTTAAACTCCAAGCAAGAAACAAGTGTTGGTGATGAAAAAGTGATGGAGTGGGCTAAGGTACTTTGTTTGACTTTGAAATGAGAAATGGTAGTTTCTACTATGTCCCTATGTTCTTTTAAACCAAAGCTTTTGCTATCTTTGTTGCAGGCCAATAATAATGAACCTTTACAGATTGTTTGTGGCTATCATGCTCTTCCTCTCCCACCTCGGGGAGGTGAAATCATATTTAACCCGCTGGAGCATCTACAGCCCATCAAGTATTGCCGACCTTCGGTATCATCTCTTGGGTTCGATGGTATATCTAATGCAGTTCCTTCTTCACCAAAACAAGCTATTGAGGTAAAGTCTGCCATCTGTACAGCCACTCTATTTAGTGGTCTGTTCCCTTTTTTCTCTAGTTCTTTTGTTTAACTTGATTTACTAAAGCTGAAGTTATTCGACAAGGTTAACACACGATTAGCAGCTGCTGAAGAAGCTCTTGCATTGTCAATCTGGACTACTTCTACAATTTGCCATTCTTTATCTCTTGAAACCGTGAGTTTTCCATACCTGACAGATCAGCGGGTGTAATATTTTGGGCCATGATAGAGTTTTATTTATTTTTCAGTTTTCTATTTACCTATTGCATCAGTGGGTATGAAATGATTACACAGATAAAATTCTGTCCTTGAGTTGATTTTTAGTTTGATCATTGTTTTAACTTGAGCTTGGTAATTCTGGTTTGGTACTTATTTGATCTAATTGTTGAATGATAAATTAGTTGTTTTGGATACTTTAATATATTGGACTAATGCTATCACAAATTGCTTGTGTTATGTATCTGCATACTCAACCACATGTTTTACTGGTTCTCATTTTTTTCGTGTATGATAATCTACTCTGAAGGGAAAACTGACGGAGTTTCTCTTTCAGGTTTTGACACTCTTTGCTGGAGTTCTATTGGAAAAGCAAATTGTTGTCATATGCCCAAACTTGGTTTGTCTACTGTCTAAGCCATCTTTTGTTGTCATGAATCAAATTTCAGTGCTTGTGTTTATACTTAGTCCAGGGTGACATTAATAAACTAAGTGCAGGGTGTCCTCTCAGCCATAGTGTTGTCCATCATACCCATGATTCGTCCATTCCAGTGGCATAGCTTGTTGCTTCCGGTGAGTTTATTAGCCTAAATCTCCTTTCAGGAAAAAACTTTTGTACTTTTACAGACATTTACATCTATGTTTTTGCCTTTAAGAATTAGAGACTTGCATTTGATTTGATTGTCTTACATTCATTTGTTGACCATCTGAAATATATTCCTTCTCATGGAAGGTGACTATTAGACTATCAGACTAATTTGAGAAAAGACAATCTTTTTAAGTTAAATTTTACATTTATTATGAACTTTCTTATATATATATATATAAACTTTTAACTTCGTTCATGGTGGTGTAGCACCATATTTCCTCTTTATGACTTGGATTCACTATCACTTCTTAACTTAGTATCCATAGGCAAACTTTCACATATGATCTTCTATGATGGCTATATGGAATCAGTTGAGGGCACTATATTATCAAGCTGTGACATGTTTGTTTGTTCGTCTTTATTATGTCTTACAACTCTTCTGTGATATGAAAAGAAATGTAGTTTCACAATTCATAAGTTTTTGTGCTAGCTATATTTTAAACTGTACCTGTTTGTCTGCATCATCGTTTGTTGCTTTACATTGGGTCTTCAATGTTATTTGAGAGAGTTGGGTTACTTCTAAACTCATTTCTTGATGGAACCATGACTTTCTACATTATGGAGTTGTGGTTTTCACTGAGCTTATCTGAAGTGTGTTTCTGAACCAAAAAGAGGCATTCAGAACCACTAGTATAAATTTATCCTTTGGGCAAAAGTTCTCTGATTAAGCTTTTGCTAATACCACTGGCACTTTGAACCACTTTTTTGCTTTCATATCTTAGTTCCTAAGTGCTTGGACAGTCTCTATGATTCTATTAGATAATTTCAAGAAGAAAATCATGCATTTTTATTATAAAATTAACATGATGCTTGTACTGATAACTATAGCATATTGCCTACTCAAATGAATAAACTTATTTAGAATGACTTTTATATGATGTCTCTTGATATCAATTGGTTAGAATGTGGTTCGAATTGCTAGTCTGCCTTATTTTTTATTTATTATAGTCAAACATTTTTGTAAATTTTTCTTGTTAATGATACAGGTAGGCGTAAGAAGCTTAACTTGAAATTTCTTTTCAAGGATTAGGAAGTGTTATTGTAGATACTGTATTTTTAAGATCTAATGATGTCCTTTAAATAGATTTTATATTAATTCTTTTGCTAATTTTAGGAATTTGAACCAACTATGATATTACATTTTCCAGATTCTACCAAAAAAGATGTTGGACTTTCTTGATGCTCCAGTTCCATATATTGTAAGTTTTCTCATCCGTTTCTTGCTTTTTTTTCTTGTATTGTAATTGTCCTCATCAATGCTTATATTTATTTTTCTTCAGTTCTTGAAGAAACTTCAATGTCATTTCATGAAATGGTTTCTGTTTGAAATAACTGAGATCTAAAGTCCTTGTCCAATTGAGTGGTCAAAGATAACCCAACCCAATTCTTTATGGAAGAAATGCTCAAAGAACTCTATTATGCCTGCTGACATATTTGCAGGCAGTATGTATACCTTCACTTTGCAGATTTTGTTCTTGTCAAACGTAAACTCCAAAGTAGTACAACGTGGGAGAGGAAAACAGTCCATATGAGTTTTAAGCTTCATATATATATATATATATATATATATATATATATATATATATATATATATATATATATATATATATATATATATATATATATATATATCGATAAAGGTTATGCTGGGTATTCTAGGTAAATTGTTGTATTGATTCCTTTTGTATTTTAAAGTCAAGATATATCAAATGAAAATTTAATCTTCTTTCATCCTGAATGTTGCCTTGGAGCATTCTATTTTGAAAAATAAGTTTTTTATTAGTAATTTAGGTTACTTGTGCAATTTTCTTTATTTGATAACTATATTATTAGTTTAAGGATCTCCTAATCTTTATCTGTTTCTTATACGTATGATAACATCGCTGCTAGCCCATTTATGCTTTCCTTGAGTTAATCTGACACTTTGAATCAGCGTACTACAATTACCCCTTTAATTTTTGGGTTGGATTGCAATTTATTTAATCGTTCATGTTTTACATGAATGACTGATTATTGGAAACTTACATATATGCTTCTGTTTCATAGGTAGGATTACAGCATAAACCTACAAATATCAAGATGAAGACAGCCAACCTTATACAAATTAATGTTTCCAAGGAGAAGGTTCGTGACTACGAACATGCATTTTATAGTGCTATATCACATACTTTCAGTTGGGATGTGACACTTCATCTTAGCAACTGTCTTCTATATATGCCCAAAGCCCAAGATGTCAAACTTTTCATATTCTTTTTCAGGCTTTATTTGGTGTTCACCAATTTTGCTTTTGCTCTTTTTATTATTATCATAGTATAAAATCTTCTTTGATAGTGGTAGCAACTCTAACAGGTAAACTTTTTTAAAATGACTAAAAACACCAGCTGGCTGCTAATGGTTACAAACATACTTACCTAAAAAGGGGTGCTAATGGTCTCTATTGTACCTTTTCTTCATATCACATCAAAAGGACTTTCATAAACGTAGATTAAGTGTGTTAGTCCTGCATCATACTTTTGCATTATGGATGTTATGTTGGCAGCCTATGCAATGCATGGTTCGTGGTACGTAGGGCTATCTCTTTGATGCTCTATCAAGTTTGCAGTCACTGGGAAATGTGGCACTTAGTTTTAAACTTCAGTAGGTACAAAACTAGATTTAGATTATATCTTGTTATCTGGAGAACATGTAGCAAGATATGATACAACATGCATGCTGTGTGCAAAAAGACTTTATCATTAGCAAGATATGATACAACATGCATGCATGTAGTACTTAAAAGAGTTTGCTCATCAAAAAACCAGTAAGAATTGTTTGTACTTTACGGTTACATAAACAACACCAATAGCTATGCAACTAGACTTTTTTAACCTCTGTACTTGATGTTGATTGTGAACGTTTTTTTTCCTTCTGTTGGTAAGTTGCTTGTTTAATATTATTATGCAATGCAGATTGCAGACTTTTCTCTAAATATTCATAATTATTCGGTGCCTTCACATAAACCTTCTTTTATATTCCCTTGTTGCTTTTCTTGATTATCTTCTTAGGGTTGCTGCATTTTACTTCCTTAATCTTTATGTTAAAGGGTGTGCCTATAGCATTAAGCCTAGGGAGTGATAATGCTCGACACTGGAGTTGTGGATGAGCCGAAGCACAAACTTATAATAGGCATCCTAGGCCTAAGTGTATAATTAATGATAAATAAAAGGTTTGTTTGATTCTTACGAATTAGATACAAACTTTAAAGCTAATAAGCAGTTTTTCTACTGTCACATGACCTACAGTTTCTTAACAAAAGCAAAGTGATTGGTTAAGTATCCTTTAAGGATATGTTTCAGCATCATCTGTTGGTGCAACATAATCATGTAACTATATCTTGATATACCCATTTTTTGTTTTCTTAAAAGCATAGTTTCTTGATATACCCATCTGTTAACTCATTAGATATTATGAGTTTCAATAATGCAGGTTAAGGCATGCTCAATGCCTCGGCTTCCTGGGTACAAGGAGCTCGTTTCTGATTTGGGTCCTATTCATGCTAGACTCTCATGTGAAAACTCCATAGCTAAACGGCATCCTGTTTACAAATGCAGTGAAGTTCAGGTTTTCTCATGCCTCATGGTTTTTAAGTTTGTTCTTTGTTTGCTATGTACTTTACCAAAATCAAATTACTACAAGAAAAACACTGACCATTTTCTTTAACAAGATTAATATGCTCTAGTTTGAAATTGGCCAATCAGTGGTGTCCATTCAAATCAAACTTCCTGGTTCACTAATTTTCTTTACTGAAACCGAAACTAGAAATGGCCCCCAAATGGTCATCTGACCAATGATCATGCATGATCTTCTCTTGTTTTATAATTTTTGTTAAAACATTCTTATTCACAGTCATAAAATGTTGAAGATTTGATGTGGTTCTATTTGCAGGCTGAAGCTGCTGGGCAATTCTTAAATGCCATGAGACGCTACTTGGAATCTCTTTGTTCTAATTTGCGCTCTCATACAATAACTAACGTGCAGTCAAATAATGACAAGGTTATTCATATCTATCTAACTGGTTATTGTTGGGATTTTTATGCTAACATATGCATGTACATGACTTGTTATCAGTGAGTTTGTTTCATAAATATCTTTTTAAGTTATCAGTCAAATAATGACATGAATATCTTTTGAACACAGGTATCACTTCTACTTAAAGACAGTTTTATTGATTCCTTTCCAACTAAAGATCGTCAATTCGTTAAGGTAACAAACAACACATGACTTTCATATGTTTTTGACATATTAAAAAAGAAATTTTCATATTTTTTCTTTTGAGTATACAATATTTTGGTTTGACACTAGGTTTGGTAATTTTAGACTAGTATGCAGGGTTTTTGTTCTTGCGGCAAATAATAGAATTTTCTGCTACTGACCATCCATTAATGCTGCAGCTCTTTGTGGAGACACAACTATTTTCTGTTCTATCAGATTCTCGGCTTTCTAGATATGAGTCTGAATAGATTCTGCTGCCGATTAAAATTTGGGATGTGGTCACAAAGAGCTTTCGGACGTGGTTGAATTCACGTATGATCTGCACGGCTTTTACTACTGCAAGCGGAGTGCCGTTCCCGAAGAAGAGCAGCAGCAGCAGCCGGTGGTGTAAAATATTTTGTCGTTGTGCCCTTCCAAGCCTCATGGTGATGCATCCTAGTCTTTTTTTGTAAAACGGGGATGCCTTGGTGTATCTGAGCTATATATATATACATGAAGTATGTCCATATCCAATAAAGTTTTGTTATTTTCCGGTTTATGCTTTGTTGCTCACAATTTTTTGTTCCGTATTAAAATTTTCAAATCTCATCCCTCATGATTCGTATACAAAATCTTATGCCGTTCCTCATGCAACTTTGATAAAATTAAAGAAACTTAAAACTTGATTAATTTAAAGTTAGAAAACTAGAAGCTCTCTTACTAAATTAATTACATATCCAATAAAATTAATTCGAGCAAAAAACTAGAAACCAGAAGAAAAAAAAAAGAAGAATTTCACAACATGCAGAATGTAGTAGTAGCCATCAAACAAAAAGAGATTGGGGAAGCGTACCTTGTGGCAAATCTTTTTCATTCATGGCCATAATCCTGCACCATAATATCTCAGCGCGATAACATATGCACAATGTTGTACCAAGTATTTTTCAGATCTAAAATCTAGTCTAGGCAGCTAAATAACTCTTGTACATTTAAAAACTAGGAATGCTGCAGCCATCGTTAGAAAGAAAGAAAGAAAGACGGGTGGAGAAGACAGGGAAAGAAGATCTCTCACCAAGTCCCGCCTCGCTGACAACTGGGCACGAGCGAAGGGATGAGTTGCGGGTGGAGCTCCTGCAGGGGCGACCTGAGAACACATCACCCTGCCAAATCAAACGGCAGAAACCGGCCCGGAGTCGTAGTGGCGCATGTGGTCGCAGGTCGCTCCTGTTGGAACTCCTCCCCTGTGCTACCTACACTTCCTCCTCCCCCCCAATCTTCTTCTATATGTACACCTCCTGTTGATCTGCAGGTTTGTACTCCCCGGCTCTCCACATGTACTGGAAGGGCGGGTTTAAGTGAAGAGGGAGTACAGTTGATAGTACCGTCCATATCTATCCTCGTACTGCCGCGTCCTCCCCCCTCCCGTCTCTATTATTTTTACCCCCATATTTTCCTTTCGCGTCTCCGAGCACGTCAAGTGACGTGTCGCGGGCTAATACATCCCAGGCCCATTCCTCAACTGTCTCTCGTGGACTTCCATCTGTCGGACAGGACTCCGATTCCCAATGGTTCGACATCTCATCCAATTCCTAGTGTATGGAGTAGACGAGTCCTTTGGGTCGAATCAAGCCAAGACGATTCGGGCGAGTCTAATTAATCGATCAATGGATCTAGTTGTCTAAACGAAGTGAGGACGCTTTCCTTACAAACAATTAAAGATAATCCAAGGAGTCTGTACATAGTTTGAAGCACGAATCTTGAGCATGTGGAAGCAAAGGGGCGGTGGGCATACCATAGTGGACCTTCTGTTGAACTCAAGTGGTTTCTTGGTTTCGTGAAGACCGCTCCACGTTACACCGAACGCGATAAAGCGTAAGACTACCTGAACAAAATATCCAAATCGCCAAGGAAAACACATCAAGAAGCCAAGAAACACACAACAAGCAGATCAAATAAAACTTGTGAAAGAACTCGGATCATAAGCCAAGAAACAAATGCGACATACAGTACAATTAAATTGAGTCTTTAAGCGAAAACTTGGGGCAAAGTACAATGTACAAACCATGCCCAGGAAATCATGATGCTATGATATATCGAAGAGTATAAGGAGGTTCAATCCCTACAACAAAATTAGAATACATGATACAACTCATGGTGTTGATGTTGGACTGATAGTCCATATTCAGTCCAATGTGAGCTTTATCAGCTCACAGTTCATCCCCTCTTAATCTAATTCTAATTTATATTGGAAGATATATGATAATTATAAAAAAAGAAAAAAAAAATATAGTAACTAGGTAATTTTTGGCAACCACGATATTCCAAAAAACAGGAAAAGAACAAAACAGAAAATGAAGAGAAAAAAAAGGAAAAAGACAAGGATAACATAAAGAGACTGTTCTCAATCATCTAACAATACTTTCATCTCAGATTAAATCAGATCTATCGTAAATTCTTACTATGATTACTTGGGGAGAATTAGGAAGGATTTAAATATTATATACAGTGACATGATTCTTCTATCCCAGTTATTCTTTTGTAATTATTGTTAAAGTTTTTGACAAGAGATTGAGATTTATATATTCATTATTATTATAGTAGATTATCTCTAATTTATCCCGTGAATTTTACCCTTCACGTTCAAGAGATTTTCCACGTATATCTTGGTATTTTATTTGATTACGATTTCATTTAATTCCGTTGTGTGTTATGGTATGTTAGTATTTGTTTATATACAAAAATTTATTTGTTTTTATATCCATCAGTCGACACCGATCAAATCAAAACAGTCGAGAAACCAATATGTCGCCGAAGCAATGGGAAATCGCTAACCCACGCGAAGGAAGTAAAGAAAGAAAGGTAAGCAGATCGATGCAAGGTGAAAGGAGGAGAAGAATGGGATAGATGATGTACCTCAGTTCAGGCATAAATGGCAGCAAGAAAGCGCGCCTTTTTTGGAACTAACTTTCGAACAAAAAAAAAAGCGCCAATCGGAAACTGTTTGCAGAGGTCTCAACTTTTAAATTTTTGAACAGAGCACCGCTGATCACATGTAAAAATTAAATTCTCTTAGATGGCAAAATCTTTAGTCACCACAACTATATTTTTTTTATAAATAGATAAATACAAGATATTGGTTTCAACATTAAAAAAACTCCTAATTATATTATTTGAGACGTTTCTTAATTTCTCAAAATCATTATTTTTTTTTATAAACACGTGGTTACATAAGTTTCTTAGTCTAAAGGATTACCCTCTGATGACAATAATCTATCATTAAAGCTCTATTTTTATTTTACAGATTGATGTGCTAATTAAAACTAGATTTCTTAGACAAGAATTGTCTATTCGAGAACTCTTAACTTCTAAAAATCAATCATTTTCATTAGGAAAACATTTATAAAAGATTAGGATTACGATTATTGGCTTTATGTGTTTATATTTTCACTAATAAATTGAGAATATACATGCATTAGTAAATATTTAGAGAAGTTATATTGCAAAAAATTGAACGAATGCGATCATGCGTAATACTTCTAGTGAAGAATATATGTATGAGAATTAAAAGCAACCTAAATCGATGTACACCTCAATCAGTAGACCATCACAAAAAGAAGGCATTCACTGCACGCTTCTTAAAGCAGATGACAGAAAGGGGACGGATGCTTCCTTGGTTTCGGAATCCGCTTCACCCTACCGAATCCAAACGCAACAGAAGAACGGGGGGAGGAGACGATTCAAAGAGAAGAAACTGAAAACGAGAAAGAAAGGGGCGTAATTGCCTGAAAGAAAACCCAAAAAGCCAAAAAAACAAACAGATCAAACGGAACATGTAGTGAACATTGAATCTTGTGCAATTGCCTGAAAGAAAACCCAAATGGCCAAAGAAACGAACAGATGAAACGGAACATGTAGTAAACGTTGAATCTTGCGCAATTGCCTGAAAGAAAACCCAAATCGCCAAGAAGCGAACAGATCAAATCGAATCCAAGAAATCATGATCCAGGAAAGATTTAATGGATCAAGGAGTAAGCGGATTGTCAAAACGCTAGATAAGAACTAGGGTTTCTGCAGCCAGAAAGAAACCATCCAAATCAGAACTGATGAAGAAGGGTGAGACACATCTACCTCGGTGTTTCTTGAACTCCCGTTCGCTCGACGGCGCCATCTCTCTGCCCTCCTCTTATATCGGTGTTTCTCTGGTATTGGAATTGGTTAGTCTCATTGGCTCCCGATACTGAAATGAATGAATGAAAGGAAAGGGCGGTTTCTTCTTTTGAATTGTTTTACCATGAGGAGATACGCGATGCATTTACGCGCGACCTCTCTCAAATGATATGACATTTAAGATCCATATTTTTCATCTTTTAAAAATAATCCTTGATAACGGAAAAAAAAAATATTTTTATAAATATATAAATGGATGATTTTTGTGAAAATTATTTTTTTCTGTGCTCGTATTATTTTATTTTTCTGTGAAAATTATTTTGTGAAAAAAAAAATATTTTTATAAATATATAAATGAATTGTTTTATTTTTTTCTATAATTTCATAAATATTCTTTTTTTCTCCATCACTTTCATCCGGCCAATATCATCTGCTCTTCCCTACTCATCACCATCAATGCCTCAATGCGATGCCGATCGTGTTTGTCGCCTTTGTCCCCTTCCTCATTAGTTGTGTCCGTTGCTATAAGGCCCCATTCCCCACTTGTTGTGCAATGTGAGACATTATTATCTTTGGGTAGCACCCTTCCTTGCATGTTGCACCTGTCATCTCTGCCCTTTGTCGATCACTATGAGGCGCTCACCCTTCCTTGAGACGCAATACTCGATTGCCAACTTCATATCCCCTATACCAACTCTTTCTCCTTGGGGCTTCATATCCCCTTCATCACCTCCGCATCGAACACCTCCATCGTTGGCGAGGAAGGGAAGAGTATTATTGGATACTTCAAATGACAAGTAAGAAAGACAAAGAAGAATACATAGTTTAAGCGTATAGGATTCTTCTATTTTTCCACTGTGACTAATTAGAAAGTAATAATCTAACATAGGATTCACTGATCTCCATCAGTGGTCCTTCACCTACGCCATGATTCTTGCCACCTTAACATAAATTATTGCCATCTTTTGGACTTTACTAATAAGTTCATTTCAGATCCAAATCTTCGGATCCAAGAAAGACTTTCATGATTTATCATAAGATTTTGAATTTAAATCTTATTTTCATCATTTTTTTATAAATAAATAAATAAATAAAATTATTCACTAAAGGAATAAAGAAACTAACAAACAATGGTTGAAATAAGCTAATTAATGTTCTATTTTCCTGCTAAAACTAAGAAAATATTTATACATCTCCAGTGGAAAAAAAAAGTTGTTTTTTTTATATTCTTCTTTTTTTTTGGCTTTTTTGGGTGGGGGGGGCGCGTTGGAGAGGAGGGGATTGCATCAACGGAGGAGTAACGAGGGACGGCGCGGCGCCGTGGTGCTCCGCCGCTCGCAGACAGCCTTCTGACGGCGCATCTCCACGATGCGGCGGTGGGAGTTGGAGTGGATGGCGGCGGAAAAGGTGGGGCTGCTCGCCGGCCGGTACTCTGGGACCAGACGACCGGATTTAAACCTCACGCCGCACGCGTTGCAGAGCGTCTTCGGCCCCTCCGGCCCCGCCCGCCACTGCGGCGTCTCCTCCGCCTGGCAGTGCCTGCACCGCCGCCGCTCTAGGGTGCACACCCTCTTCGCTCCGGCCATTGCGGCTGGCTTCGGGGGGAAGCAGGTTGGCACCCTCCGTCCCCGCCTCCGTGTTTTGCTCCTCGGACGCACCGGCGCGGAGAACGAAGCCGCGGCCGCCAGGACCGAAACAGGGCTCGGCCGCTCCCCCACCGCGCACATTGCGGCCCCGGCCTTGATTCCGCTCCCTCCGCCGCCGCCGCTGCGGGAGGGGGCGGGAATCTCGAACGACGTCTCCAGCGCCGGAAACGCGTCCTTGTTCGCGAGCCACTCGAGCTCCTCTTCCTCCTCGTCTCCTCCATCTCCTCCCTCCGTCGGCAGCCCCTACAAAAGCCCCACATTAGGAACAATAAAAAGAAAGGATTTTGATCATTTTTCTAAGCCAAAAACAGGATTTTGACGAGGTTGGAAAGGAACCGGAAGGCCATCTCCGGACGGGTCGAATAATTCCTGGAAGAGGAGGGCGTGGAGATGCAACTCTCCTGCGGCAGCTGTGGCGGCCGCGGATGACGCCGCCTCAAGTGGCGGATGGTAAGGGTCGGATGTGAAGTCCATAAACAGGAGTTCGTCGGCGAAGCATGCCTCCGCAGCGGTCTCCTCCTCCAATGGCTCGGTCATCGCCTTCTCTGAGAGCGCCATGGCTGTATCCTTCACTTTCCCCGTCAAAGAAGTGGAGAGAGATGAGAGGATAAAGAGCAACAAGTTTCCAACGAGAGAAGCCGATAGGAAGATTCCAATCTCGGCGTTGATTACAATGTCCTTAAGATGGATATGAATGAAATATCACTCGCTAATGCTAACATCACACCTACACTATCATAATTAATCAAATCACAAGGCAGATGTCCATATGTTAATATAAGCCTTGAACAAAAACTTATCTTCCCCATTCCCAATAAGCAGTGGCAACATGTCCCATTCTTCTGTTCATCAACAACCAGGCCTGCATAGGTGTGGATTTGGGTTTGGGTCAAGAAATATTGACTTGTCTTGCTTGAAATTACTTTTAGTAATCAAGTTAAACCTTTTATTTTTACTATTAAATGCCAATCTCATGTCTTATAAATAATCAAATCAGTAGTTATTACTTTTACTCACAGGATCCAATTATCATAAGTGATTATAATGAGTTAAATTATATATTATCCTTATAAGTAATTATTTTTAGCATCTCGATCTTTATATTTTTTAAAATTAGAATTCCTAAATTTATGAAATTAAAATAGGGATCCCTATATATAACAACATTGAAATTGCTATAGAAGATTAAAAATCAAGTGATAGAGAGAAGGATTTTGTTGAAGCAACAAGTTAAGTTTTTTACTTTAGTAAGTATAAAGATATTAATATAACTTTTAAAAGTATAAATATTAGAATGTTAAAGATAATTAATTATAAAAGATAATATATAATTAGTCCTTATAACCCTTATCTATCATTTATTATTTTTAATTGATCTTAACATGCATGATGTTGTTGAAGAATCTATCTTTTGAGTTGAGTAGTGATGTTACTATTATTAAAGGAATGAAAGGACTAGGGTAGGGAGAAAGAAAACAGATTGGAATGAGAGTGAGATTGAATCTACTAATGGGAAGATTATGTAACACTCATGATTATATATATATATATATATAAACTACCAAAATAAGATAAGATAATAGCTTTATCTTATCCTACTTGAATATTGTTTCAGTTTACATAGATAAGATTTATCATCTGTTTTAATAGTATGGTAAGTGATGAGGATAATAATTGCGATAAGACCCGGCTAACGTCAGCGGTCCCATATGACGTCTCACGCCTCGATCGACCTGACAACATCCGGTCAAACGAACCAGAACGCCAGCCGAGGCACATTGACGTCCTACTCAAGCCCAACTCTGCACGCCATGCCAACCGGTGTCAGACGCCACCAGGAGTACGATCCTGCCCCTGCAAGCGGGCAGATCAGGCGACGATAACCTCCCCTATAAATACCCTCGCGTTCATCTGAGAAAAGGGGGAGAGACCTTAGCTAAACAAATCCCCTCAACTATCTTCTAACTTAATCGTCGGAGGGGTCGGGTCGAGCTTCCCGACCCGACCTTTGTGTAGGTGCGAAGTGCAAGTCATAGGTGCCCAGCAAGCCAATCACGTGAGTGATGGCACGTGTGACTTGATATAGAATTTTTTTGCTTATTATATTTTGGCGTATATCACTTTATAACTATTGCATAAATGCATACATATTGTGATGTCCTTGGATTTGTGCAATGAGAATCGGATCGTGATAAGATCACGATAATGAGATCGATTCACCTTTAAACACATATCCTAAATAATCCCGGTCATAGGTTACTCGAGAGGGACATCGTGATAACCGAACAGACTGGTGTGCTGTATACCCGTCCATATGATGGATGTAGCTGGTCTCATAGCTGCTCGTGTAGGGACACTAGGGATACAGTACAGGTGCTCATTGGAGAATGAGTTCACTGATTGATCCGCTTACGGAATGCTGGATGGTTGATGATGCCTTATTGTCAGACAGCGATTTCGTAGTCCTAGTGGTGTATCTGGTCCTCAGACTTGAGACACCAAGGATGTCCTGTATGAGTGCTCCACTCTTTGATACCAGACTTATAGGTTTGGCTGTCTCAGATCTAGTACAGCTGGTCATTGGGAGTGTTAGTGTGAACATCTTTATGCCGTGGCCTCGGGGCCGTCGCGACTTGGTTCGGGTCCGAATGCGGGGGGATCTTGTGCGGTGTTCCTCGGGACAGCCGGTTGAAATAGTCCGGGCGGGACGTTGCGTGTGGAGCGAAGCTTTTCCGCGGCGCTGGGAAGATGCAACCTCGCCCTTGTAACTGCAGATAGGTCGGGTCGGAAGCTCGGCCCGACCCCTCCGACGATCAAGTCAGATGATGTGGAAGGAGTTTTGCTAGTCAAGAAGTGTCCTCCCCCGTCGTTTAGAACTCGGGGGTATTTATAGGCCAGTTTAGTATTACCTGATGTGCCTACTTGCAGGAGTAGGACCGTACCTCTGATGGCGTCTGACATTACCAATGGTGTTACGTCGAGAACCGAACTGCCGCAGGGTATGGGCGAGCATTGGTCATCGTCCTCCTCTGTCTCGGTCAAGCGTGCTGGGTCAGACGACGATAGTATTGTTGTCTAAGAGTGGGTGACGTCAGCGCACATCCCGTCGGCATTATTGCCCTCTTTTGGGGCAGAGCGTCATATAGGTATGGCTGACGTCGTGGCACGTCATGTCGCCATTATTACCCCTATCATACTCCCCCCCCAGAAGAAGCTATGCGTCGGTTATTTGCTTACTGAGGGGAGTCCGAGGCATGGCTTTGTCCTTTGGCGCCGCAGTAGTCTCAGGCGACATGAGGTGGAGCACGTCTCGGGCGGCTAGGCCGCGGCGAGGGAGGTGGTTTCGAGGAGCACGACGCAAGCGGGCTGACCGCACAGGTGTGTCTCGGGGAGCATGAAGCCGAGGAGCACGACGTAGGCGGGCTGGCCGCGCAGGTGTGTCTCGGGAACATGGAGCCAAGGAGCATGACGCAGGCGGGCTGGCCGCGTAGGTGTGGTCTCGGGCATTATGCGGCCGAGGATCACGACGCAGGCGGG